CTTGACATTAAAGAGGGTACCTAAAACAATCCAAGATCCTGAATAAGCCCGAAAACTTGACATTAAAGAGAGTGCCCCTGCATAAGCGCGTCCAACATTAGTCGTGAAAGCTAAAGCCCCCTTGTGGGATCTCTATGTGTGGCCCCCAGCTGGGGACCCGAATCTCGAGAGCATGTCCATTCAAGCTTGGTGAAAACATCTCCCACACTCGTAAAATCTGCCAGGATGAATGGGCGAATCCTCACGGCATTCATCAGAGCAGCTTCCTGAGTCTCAGGGGAACCTGAACTATAGGTGTTCGGGATGTTGAATCTTTGCCTGTCACTTCGGGCGCCATGCTAATTCGACATAGCAAATGCGAATGTAAGAGACCTGGAGGACTGGCGGTCCTTATTTCCATTTGGAAACAAAACGGGACTGTCTTAAACGAGATCGGCCCCCTTCAGCACAAGGTCTTTAGTCTTTTTTCGAGGAGAAGCAGCTTAGCAGTAGGCAAAAGGCAGCGGAATTACAATCCCGAACCCTGAGCCAAAAAACCGTGACCCCCTAGCCCAGTATGTCCTAATTGATTCACTAGGAAGCCCATCAAGCTCTTTGGGTGCTGGGTTTCTTTTGGATGCCAGCTCCGTTCCTTTTTGATTTTCTGAAGTCGCGGGACGCGGGTTACCTGGTTTCATGGAATCAGGGTGATGAATTCCAGGGTCGGTCCAGAGTTTCAGGCGTTCATGGGCAGCAGTCATCATGGAGCATGCGCATGGGTGACTGCAACCCAAAGCCCAAAACCCCAAACTCTAAGCCTTGAATTCAAAGCGCCAAGCCCACAAAACTGGAGTGCCTGAAGCTCCAACGCCCTAAAACCTTCCCAAATCCTTATTATCCTAGAATATCTTTCAAGACCTAGAACTCCAAAACCCGGTTGCTGAGGTGCTGGCGCTCTTCAGACTCAAAGGCCATGTGGCCGAGCCTGAGCTTCAAAAACGCTTTTGGGTCCCTTTGCAGGGGTATTAGGGATATAACCTCGCAAGGGTGCCTAGGGCAGAGATCTATCAAATTGTCTTGGATGTCAGGGGGCTGCATCGTGTCGGAGTACTTCCTGATTCAGGTGTGAAGGTTTGTCATTTAGGCTTCTTGTCTTTTTGCAGTTTTCAGTGTTTAAGCCTCAGTTCTGTAGCGCATGTGGATCAGGAACACATGTTATTACATGTTTTGGTGGAAGCATGGATAGAATGAAGGCGGCCCCACCTTTAGGTTTGCGAGGGTTGAGCTTTACATTAGCAGTAGTCTCCAAAGTCTCAAGGTCCACATGCCGAGTGAGCAACAGGGACCACCAATCGGCCACAAGGGATGACCCGGACAGAAATATGCGGTTCAGAAAGATTAACCCCAACCCGGTCAAATCCAGCTCTTGCATGCAGTTCTTATGCCAACCCTCAAACATCCTAGCCGCCAACGGCATTCCAGTTTAGTTCGTGCGTTCCCACTTCGGAGAGAGCTAACCTTGTTTCTCCTAGGCTTTGGGGACATCGAAGTATCGATAGAAATTCTTTGATGTTCCTTGGATCCAGGAGTGGTCCTTATTGATTGGTTTATAGTATTCCTGACAACTTGTAACCAACGTCCCCGTTCCCTACTACAGCCCCACCAAACCAAGAATTCCTACCACAAAGGCAATGTCTCACCATGCAGAAGTCCTTTCTGATGGCAGCGTGCAGAAGCAGGAAAGATTGAGCCACATGCGACAGTCTCAGGGTGCTCACTATTGCTTATTTGGGGTTTCCTAATCTTTGCTCAAGGCTCATTCCATGAGGATCTTGTCAGTGAGTCCTCCCATAGGGGCCGTCCTCATGAGCCCCTGCGCCTAGACTTCGGGGCTCTAGAACGAGCTTTGTAGCAGCAAGTTGATGGTTATTGTGGTTTCGGAGTTGCACCCATATAGAGTAGTTTCTATTTGATCCTGACACTGTACTTCCCCAGAGTTTGTAGGAGATTCACATTATGGCTGCTGCTCGATTCCGCCCACCCTACCAACATGCGTCGAGCTTCTTAAGATATCACAGCCAAGAGGACTCTGCGCTGGTGATGCGAAGGGAGGCCAGAGCTAATGCCGCTTGGAGCCCGAAGGATGGAAAGCTGACTAGGTGATGCCGATTTGAAAATCACTCCCTCGTATTCCTGCGCTATAGATTGCGGCTGGGTAGGATTTCTGTGACTCCGGCGTCTCATGCAGAGCAACTTGACCAATTCTTAAAAGTCGCCTTGCGCGGGTATTGGTCCATGTAAGCGGTGAGCAGGGAGTGGCAAAAGCGAATCTGCTTAAATCATGAAGCCGAATCGTATTCCGATAATCATTTCCCGTGTAGACCTAGTGTAAAGGTCTGCATTACGAAGAACATTTCCCCTGAGGCCTTCTGTAAATTGCTTCTGCTTCAATTTAAGCATCCCTCGAGACCTGCTTCTAGATGATTCGCAGCTTGCGGCTCTTTTTTCAAGTCTAGGGATGCTTCGTAACAGAACTCGCAGAGCAAGTGGGGGCCCAGCTGGGCGTAGTTCCTGGTTCATACGGACTGCGTGGCCTCGCTAGTTGCTCGTATCATCCCGTTCTAATCCTTGTACAGTGAAAGTCTGTGCTATAGTTATAGTCCCCATTACCCTTAACCGCGCGTACAAAATGGTTTCTCTTGGGGAACGTTCACGCTCAGCGCGGGCAAGCATTACCTGCACCAACGACACGCACAGAAGTCCCGCTTGTGGTGGAAGCCTATTTACAGAGCAGTTTCCGCCAATGTTATCATGGTTCTCTCTTTCTGAGGGCATTTTGTCTTGAGCATGCTTGATGCAGCATCTGTGTTGCCTCCACACACTCGAGTATTCTCGCACTCCTGTGTTTGCACAAGGTCTCCACTGAGCAAAATCCTGTATTTCACCAAAATCTCCTTGACATCTGCAATTCCGTCATAGATGTCAAGGAATGCTTTCGGGAAGATGGGTGGACCGCGGAAGGCTGCCCCAAGTATGCAGCCAGCCTGCATTCAGACTGCCATTTTCTCAGGTACCTGAAGCAGGGAAGCAAGGATTGAAGGTGCGGTCTGTTTAGACCATCCACGAAAGGGAGCGACTGTTGTAAACATGCAGAAGCAAACTGCGTCTGGCCCCCCAAACCTTCCAGAGCGAAGCTCAGGATCAGCAGAAATGCGCGAGCTACTCGGAGCAGGATTGCACTTCCAGCTGCGGCACTGGCAAAGTCTGTCTGAAGCTACAGATGAGCAGCTTGGCGACCTTGATTCTGTGGGGTCATTGAAAAATGGCATTCGGAGGCAATTGATCTGGAGACTTCAAAACCCCTTACTCCCAGGAGGAAGCTTGACGGAGAGTAAATGTGATTTGCAGGTAATCAACTGATTTTGGAGTCCTTGAGCAGTAAGGTGCTTGGGTGCGTGATTTGCCACGAATGCATCGTGACTTGCGCACATCCCACGCTCAGACTCAAAGTTCAAAACAACCCTCCGTTATGGGATACTTGCGAACAGTCACAGGCTGTACAGTTTGAGGTACATTCCTTACTTGAAGGTTCTTGGCATGTTTGGCTTTCGCGACCTGCACTCTACTTCAGACAGCAACGTCGGTCCTGCAGCTCGAACCCAGAACAAAGCAAGAGCGCCTTGAAACGTATGACTGCGATGTCGGGTGCGCGACATTTCTCTCGACACAGCCACTGCCTACATATCATAATTATCATCATCACCATCGTGGCCGCGCCAAGTATAACTTTACAGCACTCTTGCAATTTAATGGCAGTGTTCCGGCACTGTTCACTTCTTGCGATCTACACCCGGCTATCACCATGATCCTTCTGCGCCATATCACTTCTACAAGGCCGAATTGTATCATGGATATGACTAGTATTATTTGTTTTTATAGCCGCAATCCATGAAGCCCCACAAGCTGCGCTAAGTTTTTATTCAATCCCTTCCAATGAGGACAAGGGTTACACTTTTATATACTCGTGGTCACTAAAGTCTAGACAGTTTCAACAGAACATTTAATCACGACGCCGACTTGACGATGACGATGATTGCTGGGAGCCGCTGATGAAAGTGTCCTCCGAGTCAGTTTGGGGCAGTGTATCATCCCTGTTTCGAGGCCCTGTGAGCTTCACCTGCTGCTCAGAGTCTGGAGCCGCTGCATTGTCTTCAGCACTGGCCGCCCCCGGGCGGCCTTCGCAGGCGAAGGTGGCTCGGTGAGGATTCTTAGAAGGGAGAACCCCAACCTCCCGAAGATGGTTTCCAAAAACAGAATGCCCAAAATTGTTCGCAGGTAAATGGTTCAGGATTGGGCGCTGCAGGAATTCTCGTCGGTTTGGAAGAATGGGAAGCCCAAGAAAGGACTCTGCAACACCAGGAGGCCTAGAATGATCTTGACGTTATTTAGGCATTCCACATATTTCAGGGCTAGCTTTTTGGCAGTGCCCCGGCTCCAAACCTATCGTGATGTCATCCTCAGGGTGACAGCGTGAAATTCGGAGAACAACCAGGGCTTCTAAGCCCAAATCTGCACCTTCAATCCTGCAAGGTAAAGGCTCAGCCCATGACCTTACAGCCCGAGCCCTGCTGGCCCAAATGAGTTGTGAATCTTGGGCTCGAAGACTCGCAGTCAGTCTTTGGTACACTGTTGGGGTCCAGGAATGCCCACTGGCGTCATCCTACCTACCCAGGGAGAATTCTATGTCCCAGAGTCAGAACACTTGATACTGGACAATCCAAGGCAGATGACGAGACATCAGATAGCAAGGTCTCCCACTCATCCGGCAAGACAATTGATAGGCCAGGAAGCTCCGGTGTGTTTTCTCGCTCAAGGTGTTCAAGCATGTATGCTTCTAGGTGTGAGGTTGTCAGGCGCAGGGTGATAAGGGTGATAGGGGATTGAGGTTAAGGAGTGAAGGGCTGAAATTCTGCCAGTCATGATAGGCATCCAACAGAAATCGCCCAGATCAAACTCTAGACCCTTGGTCCCAAACCCGATCCCCTTCTCCCAGCAGGCACCCAACGGCCAACGACGCCAAAGATGCAGACGACAAAAAGACAAACGCTGACCAAAAGCGGTTAGAAGACGAGTTGGCTCAACTCGATGCTCGGGCACTTAGAATATGAAGCCAATACATGGTTCCCTTTTTGGAATACTGGTGTGAAGAGCGGACATGCAGAGCGGAGGGATGACATAGGGAGCGTATGTACAGTGCTTCGCGGGATGCATGCACATGTCAAGATATGGGTTCTGCTCCGCTTTTTTGAGCATGCGTGTTTGTTTAGTAGGATTTCTTGCTTAGTCGGGTGTAGGGTTTGGTTAGTGACCAAGCAGGCAGGTCTTCTTTAGGATGGATCTTCACAGTAATTAGCTGCGGTCCTGGGCCCGTATCCACCCCTGAAATTTTAAGATCTATGCCGCGTCAGACGGAAAGACGATCTCGTAGGTGTTGGTTCTGGCCTGTCTGCGTCATTAGTCTGCTATGCTCTGTGATGTAAAAGTCTATAGCGAACTTCCACACTTCAGGATAAGAGGAAACTAGAGACGGAAGAGGGCAGAACCTGAATCCGAAGTCCACTGCCCCTCAGGACAAGAAGAAGCTGGAGGCCGAAGAACAGATAAAGAAGCTGGACGAAGACCGGCAACGGCTCGCAAAAGCAGCTGGCCAGAACAAGGCCCTGAAGCTCCCACGCGGCTGGGGCACCGGCAGGGTAGTTTAGTTTGGGATTTGAGGATATAGGGATTGGACATGCCAGGTTAAGGGGCACTGGGATGTTTGGAGTACGTGTTGGGGGTTTGGTTTTAGCGTTGAAACTAGGCATAATGGATCTGTCGGGATGGAGTGTTCAAGAGCCGAAAAAACTAACAATCCGGACGCGTGGCACGGGGTCGTAGCCCGCAGGGGTGATGGATTTTGGTGTTGTGTTTTTTCTCCCGTCTTGAAACGCATCTAGCCTGCTTAGGCCCCACAAATCACGTTATCCGGCCTAGAAGGCGTGTAGCGGATTTGCACGGGCTGGTTGCTGCTGTGAGTTTATGCAACTTGTATGCCTCTAGAGATTCGCCAGATTTGCTTCTGCCTCATACAAATCAAAGTAATCGTGTCGCCGAAGAAGATCTGAAGGTGGCAAAGCGAAGGAACCGTCCGGGGAATGCCTGAAGCTTCACAAGCCTGCCTCAGGCCTCAGACTCCGAGAGGACGCAGAAATCTGGCTATAGGGACAAGGACAAAAAGGCCGCGGCAAAGCCTCAGGCGCCGGCCCGCTGGGTCCAAGTGGAAGTGTCCGGAAACAAGAGGGACTGTTTGGCGGGTTCGTGTATGGTAAGGACACCTTGCGAGTGGCGTACTTCTATGTCCCACAAAAACTTAAAACACTTTCTAAGCTGCTCTCGGGGGATTCCCACAGTTCAAGCGTGGGTTCTAAACGCTTCTACATGGCAACATGATGCAATCAGAGGGATGCTTAGGCGAACCAGTACGTTCAAGCTCTGTCAAAAAGCACGGTCTGAGGCGGATGAGGACACCGCGCCAAAACCCTCCTGCCGCATTTCCATAAGCCATGTCTCACGGGCTTTTAACATTGAGGATGGACCTTGGTATGCTCCAGTCTGAGAGTTGCGAGAGCAGTACAAAGAAGAAGGATGCAAGTCTAGTAGAAATAGCGACCATAGTCGTTCACTGTCATAACCCTTATGCTGAGTATGCATGGCTCGCTGCCTTGCTTCAGGCTTCAGACTCAGAGAAGGCAGAGGCATCGAAAGCAGTGGCTGAGGAGAAGGATGCCAAGGACACTGACAAACCTCAGGTGGAGTGGGTTGGTCCACTTGAGCCTGATTTGAATCAATGGCTATATACATGGGAAGTACGGTTGTGAGTTGTAGTAGTTGTCGTGCTGGTTTTGGTAGCAGCAGCAGGATAGCGAGACCATTGGGGCGTTTCTTAGGATTGTCGTTGGTCTTTGCCATGAATCCCCCAAAAAGAGACCACCGGGAAGGGATAAAAGGGACTCAGCACAGAAGTCCAGATTCCCTGCCATAGATTTCTGCTGTTTTCGCTCAGCGGGATACACCAAGGCTCAAGTGCTTGCCCTTCTGGCGATCTGAGTTGAATAGTCCTGCCCGAGCTGACCTGCGGAAAGATAGTCTGGCCCAGATCGCCAAGACCATGAGGAACTCCTGATAGTTGTCGCCAAGCCCTGGAATCCAGGGCCTAGGTCTCATCCGTTACTAATGTGGATGATAGGATGCACACTCATTGTGGCAACAGTGAGAGCACTAGCAGCATATACATATATGTATATGTACATATAAGGAATTTCAAAGCCAGGGATCATTAGCAGTAGCATTGACAGTGATACTGTAGCAAAAATGTTCTGGGTCATCAAGCCCTGAAGCCTTAACTCCCACACCCAAAGTCCCCCACCCTGAAATCTTAAACTTTGAATCTCCAGCTCACGAACCCAAACCTAAACCCTTGAACCGCGAGCCGCGAGCCCAAACTCCAACTCATGAATCCTCAGCCCCAAGCACTGATTCCTAAACCATGAACCTCTATAGCTGTAAATCCTGAATCCTTAACCCCAAGTCTTCGTACTTGTTCTGGAGGCCGCAAGTCCGCACCAGGAGCCCTCAGAGCCAGAGGAGGCCGAGCCGTCGAAGCCTGCTACCCAGGGTCTGGTGAACGGCAGGGAATGGGTGCTCTATGACTGGGGCGGGGGAGGGGCGGGTTCAGGGTTTAGGGGTAGCATGTGAAAGGCTATGAAGGTGTTGCAGAGAGTTCCAGGTTTGGGGTTTGGGGTTGACGGTATTGGGAGTTGTCTCGGAACATCCTGGGACTGCTTTGGGGATTTGCCTCTTTCTGCCTAAGCACCAGGTTTGAATAGTTGGCATTAAGTTAAGTGTAATGGCTCGGGACAAAATTGGGCGAGCATAAGGTCTACGTAGGGCAGTGTTGAAGTAGCATCATGGTTGGGCTAGAGTTTCTGGGCTTGGTGGCACTCGAGAGTAACAGGTCGGATTAATTAAGGTCTGTGGCGCTAAGAGTTGGGGTCATGGAGTTTTGTCTCTCGAGTTAAGGAAGAGGGGTCAAGAGGCAGGGATATGGTTTAAGGTCTAGGGTTGCCTCAGGCTTTAAGGGTGTAGGAATTTGGGGTTAGGGGGTTTTGGCTTGGCTTGGCCCGGGCCTGGGATCCCTACTTCTGGGTCTACGTAAGGTGTCCTTGTGCTAACATGGAAGCCTCCAGAAGGGGCCGCGCAATAGCATCATTCAATATTTGCACCCACGAGACCAAGTCCAAACTGGAAGTGCGCCCTCGGCGCCCAACAGCACCAAGACGATAAAAGCCGGAAACCTTACATATGGGACAATTGTCGGCATCATTGGCTTGACAAGATTGAAGACATTTCTTGGACCCTCACTAGACAAACCCTAGATATTGACCTTAAGATTCACTGAGGCATGAGGGTAAGGAAGAGAAGCCAAAGGAGCCCAAGGAACTGCCATTCTCAGGCGGAAGTGACGAGGGATTGAGGAGCCATGGAGTAGGCTTTTACGCTGTAGAGTTTTGGGTTCAGCACTTTGGGAGTCAGGTTTACAGGGAGTTATCGGGATTCGTGTCACGGCTAAAGAGGGCCAATCTCAAGGAACTTCCATACTACGCATTTGCCACAAGGCCAGTCGTCAGCGGAACCAGCGTGGTATTCAGAAGATGTCAGAATATGTGTATGCCCACTGGAGCATGGCACTCTAAGCAGCTTCTGCTGCAAAACACACAAGGTTTTTGCAAGGCAATTTGGCACACGATTTCGGAGCTTGTCAAGCAACACTTCAATGCTTGTGAAGAACTTGGGATACTAAATTGAATTGCGTGCGACCCATCATCCTCAAGATAATTGCCAGCAAGAGACTCAATAGAGGGGTTTGCGGTTTCGGGGGTGTTCTGAGTCTAAGGCATTTTCGATCATTAGGCATGGTCGCTGCCGGTATGCTCTCTTAGTTTTTGCAGGACTGGCTAAGGCCCGCTTCTTGGGAGACCTGAAGCAAAACCCAAGTAGGACCTCCACAGAAAAACAGAAAAATGCGTTGAATTTGTTTTGGAGCACTTGCAAGGAAATTTGATCTGAGCGGCAAGTCTACGGCCAAAACATTAAACTATCTTCATCATTCCCTCCCTTCCCCCAAACAGAACGGAACTTCAGAACAGCCCCTTGCATTGATAAGAGTATATAAGGATTAGTGGTAATGCTAGCGTTCAAAATCGGGAGCCTATGGTTGCAACATGGCTGTTACGGAAGAATTTAGGCTTCCCACATGCATCCATAAATCTTGGATTCTTGTACTCGAACCCCAATACATCTCTCGTGCAAGGCCGAGCTTTTGAAGCGCCAAGGCCTCGGAGTCTCAGAGACGTCCACCTTCAGGAAGTGCCGCGTTCCGGGCAGTATTTGGATTCACGTGTTTTTAGGAATCCTGTTTTGAGCTGCGGAGTGTGGCAGGCTTTGCGTGTCCAGGGCACCCTATCAATCTCTAAGTTTCCTTCCGCTGTTTCTTCTGTTTGCATTTCCTGTTTGGAGTCTTCCTGTGTGAACGTTTTGTAGAGCCTGTAGAATTGGGAACGCCCACCCCCTATGAATATCTCAGCACCTCAAAGGCCACACAAACAAAACGACGAGCCTTGAGTCCCTGACATGGGTTGTTGCTAGGAACTCAAGTGGAGTTACCAGTCAAAAGGAGCGAGAATATTGTTCACGGTATGTCCTTCTGATGGTAAGATAGTTCCAAGCTCCTTGATAGAAACCTAACCGTTCTGAGTCAAAACCCGAAGCCCCAAACCTCAAATCGCAAGGCTTTCAGGGCATCCTGTTGCGCAAGCATCCGGCCAGAATCCTCTCCTAAGGGACCTTCAAACTTGCGAAAATGGGACTCCTCATTTTGTTAAAAGACCGTATTTATATGACTCACGCGTTTGTTTAACGTGGTGAAACAGTGATTCATAGCTGTTTTCTCAGACTCATGCTTGAATATCCACAGGATTATTGAGCTAACTCGCGTTTTAAGAACCTACTATCTGGCAAGCGTGTAAGGCAAATCTTCGGTCAGAAACTGGATGAGGGCGCATTTGCCCAGCTCGCTGGCTGAGAATCGGCTGGAGCCCTCATGCTCATGCTTCCCCTCTCCTGGATACAAAGTTAGGGGTCTAGCAGAAGCGCTCCTATAGTTTGGCGTAGGCAGAGGCATCCTGCTTTCTGGAAATGTCTGAGACCACATATTTCAGGAATCTGATCAGGCAGGTGTTCCTATAGCCTGCAGATTACCTGCCTCTTAGACTCTAGCCGCGGACCTGCAGTTATAAGCTTGAAGTCTCAAGATGTAGGCCTTGACCCCTTAACCTAACTCCGAAACCCTAACTGATCAGCTTCGCTGCAGCTCTGGGTCACCAGAGGTGTACCCAAGACCCCAGCCGGAATTGAGCCGTTGAGAGCTAGCTAGGCACATCGCAACTGTGCGGGTGGAAGGGTCCTTGTGGGGGAAGGCCTTGGGGCGTTCACCAAGGACTGTCTAGCGCATGTTATGGGAAGGCTGTGCATGTGATTTGGGAGTTCGTAGGCATGTATTTCTGAGTTTCCCGAAGACAATCAAATGCAGCTTCCTGCAGTTCGTTCCGAAGTTACCATCTTTCCATGCTGGCGCAGAAAGCCCCTTTTGGACCTCCACCTCCCGGAAGCGGCTTGGACCAAAACTGCAAGGGTGACACATCTCTGCGCTCGGAACCAAAGCTGACACAGCTATGGCCTGCAGCACATGGGTCGCTCGCTCGGGAGATTCCTAGAACCTCAAGTGGGCAGCTTCTCCTAGACTGCTGTTTGAATCAATCGGATCATTACACAGGAGGTTTTGGGTCTAGGCCTTGGCATAGGGGTCAGGGTTGAGGATTCAGTGTTCCTTCCTGGTGCGTAGGGTCTAGGGCATAGAGGTAGGCTAAAGGCCGTATTTGGGTCCCTGCCTTGACCCCTGAAAGCCTTAAGCACGACGGCCATTTCCCAAATCATGATTCCTTCGTTTCTTGCAGTTGTTGGGACTTCGGGCTCACACACTTCTGTAGAGATGCAACGTTCTGGACAGGTAGCCCAAACCAAAGCGGACTTGAGGGAGAGGGAGTAGGGTAAAGGTATGTGAGCCGGGTGTAGTGCTGTCACTGCAAAGTGCATGTCCGTCGTGTGTATGCAGGATAGTCACCCGTGCTCTACAGTACCTCTGCGGTCAGGATAGCAGCCCCCTTTTGCAGGTTCTTGGTCCCTCTTGTAGGTGCAAGAGCTGTGGCGCAAGTAGGACTTTTGCTGCCATTGCGGTGGCAGAAGCAGCTGCAGGAGCACCCTTCGCATTGGCAGTTGCAGTGGGAGTACTTGTGGACTAGCCTAGTTTGATTTTTGGAAGGGTTCGTTACAGTGGGGTCCGAATACTGTGAGATCATGCTTGGAAACCTCAATGTCTAACCCGAAATCCTACAGTAAGTAAGCTGTGCAAGCCTAACCCAAAACCCCAAGTCTGAAACCTGAAGCTCTAAATCCAAAAGCCGCAGCCCCTTAGCGTGAAACTTATGCATTCGCAGTAGAGACGGAAGTAATGGTAGCAACTACCGAAGAGCCCGCAGCCGCTGGCAGCTGATGCTGTACACTAGGACTCCCATAGGTAAGTACGAAGGGTATGGTTTTCGAACTTCAGGTTCATGTGCTGTAGGCCCTTGTATTAAGGGAAAAAGGAGCAGTCAAACTCGTCCGCACAGCCCAATCTTCCCTTAGCCCAGACCTTGACCTCTGAACCCCAAAGCTCAAGCCTCCAAAGCTCAATCCAGCCCACTCGTGCAGCTCAAACCCTCAAACACCAACACCCTGAAATCGAATCCCTTAGTCAGCAGTGAACCGGCCCTCCGCTCGGCATGCCGATGTTGCAAGCGATCCGGCTATCTTCAGAGCTGCTTGGTGCTGACCTGGAAGTAAGGTTGCGGGGCTCAGTCAGAATCTGTATGTGAGACCTTACAGCTTATGCTCTTGAGAGATGAGCTCTAAAGTTGATAGGTCGTGCCAGGTAGGCGAGGGTCTAGAAGGTCAGAGGCTTAGGCTTACGGGTTGAGAGTCATTGTTTTTACGAGTGAACGTGTCTTGCAAGATGTAGGCATACGAGTTTGAAGCTTCCGAGTGTCAAGAAGGAGCAGTGATTCGAGGCTGAGGGTCTCCTAGAAGTGACCTTTTCCTTCGAATAGGGGTTTGTAAGGGATTAGCCGCAGCGGCGCCGCACCAGCATCGCTGCAAACTGCAAAAGGCAATCGTGTGCATAGTGTGGCGGCTTGTGGAGATTACATTCCAAGTCATAGGCACCAGCGGAGTCAGTTGTTTGTGGTTGTTGCATGTTGGAGGGGGATACGACCGGATTCCTAATTTTTGCAGAGTCTGTACCGACCAGTGCTGCAAACACCCTTAACCTAGACGAGTTCGGGTGTTGATCTTCATGCCTTGTGTTCAGGCCGTGTCTCCGTGGAATCATGAGAGCCTCAAAGGAAGAATAAATTCCGAAATTCCTGTTGCTACAGTGGCTTGATGGGTTGAAATGGTAACTGGATTGGGAGTGAAGCTAGTAAAGTAGACATCATGTTCTGGCAGCAAATCTCCCACGCATCATTTCTACTGCCTTTAATCCTCTAGCCAGAGCCCTACGCCTAAACTCTTCTCCCAAACGCAGGTCTGCGACCCCAGTAAGCCAACAACTTCAGTTCATTGATGCAACTCTCAGCTGATGGCTGGTTTCCGCATGTTGCCTCAGGTTGAGGTCGCTACGAGTAGCCCACTGACTCGCTCGAGGTCTTTGTGTGGTCGTTTTGCTGAGCATGTGCAGTTGGTGGGGGCCGGTTTGTGATCACACCGGAAGTTCCGAAGTTACGGAGTGTATGCGTGGCTCGATCTTCTTTACAAGCATGTAGTGAAATGCAGTGCGGCAGGAGTTTGGCATGAGGGTCAAGGTTTCGTCTTAGTCCATTACAAGGCTGGTGTGTGTGTGTGTGTATCTGTATATATAAATATATGTATACATGTATACGTGCATTTTTTGTCCTAGGCTGCTCATGAGGAGCCAGTAAATCAGGAGTCCGGTTGATGAGGGAACCTGCTCGAAGCTGTCAACCACTAGCATTAAGTAGACGAAGGTTTCATGACCCCTACTGCCTACCATCTTGCATTATCAGCTGCATGTAGAATCTCTCGTTGTGCAAAACTTTTGTGGATCCTGTGGGTCACCAAGTTGATGTGAGCCCTAGTTGTAGATTCTATTCATTGGGTCAGGTCGGTGGATGAGTGCTTGGCCAGGACAAGCGGCCAATGCAAGCGCAGGATGAGGCAGCGGTCCTGGAGGGCGAGCAGGACACCACACCGATCAGATAGAGAGGTAAAGCGGGAGGCTTATGAACAAACCATTTTTAGGACGCGCGGCTGTTACCCTGGTTTCGAGAGCCTGTTCGAAATTCTACGGCTGTGGGTACAGAGGTCCTGAGCTCCGCTGTATGGACTCCACTGTCCACAAACATGAGAACAGAGCAGCAGGCAGATGCCCCGTTCCTTTCGTCCCGTCAAATCTCCATGGCGACAGGAGGCTTCAGATGCCGACAATGCCTCGGATCGATTGGTGCTTGTGGACAGGGAAGAGGAGCAGGTGGGTGTTCAGTGTTACAGCGTTTAGAACTGTAACTTCCTAAAGAGTTTGTATGAGGAGGATTTAGGACCCAAGTATCACTCCAAATTCGGTGGATAAAAGCCCCGGCCCAGGTTCAGTTGCAGGGGGTTGCGACCCAATTTTAGCAGTTCCGTCGCAGTGCTAGCGTCTAGCAGCTGGAAGTCATTGCGTTGGAACCATGTTGCTCATGTTCACCCATCCCCTTTGACCTGTTGACTACCCGGTGAGTTTGTTCTTGGCGGGGGAACCTACAGGCAAAAACTACAAACCCTGCCACAAAAACCGGGAATGGTTCAATAGCTACTAGATTGATTCCCTTAGAGTCCCGACTGAGCGCAGCAAGCTTCACCCCAGCACTGATTTAAGTGATGCGTTGAGATGGTGCTACACAGGCTGGCACGAGGCTCACATTTTCTAGAGTTGCCCATATGAAATCTGCTGGTCCAGGGTCACTACAGGGAAATTCAAGGAGGACAAAGGGTTCCGCACGGCCTTTCAGCATAGGCTTCACTATCTTGCTGAAACCAGATTCGACTTTCTATCTGAAATAGAATGTTGACGGCAGCGTATGCAATCCTTTGATTGAGCCCCCTCCCCCCTCCCGCCCTGTACTTCCCACGATGGTCTGCATACCTTGCATCCGACCTCAGACCTTTCTAAAGTGCTTCAACCTAAACGTGCTATAGCATCAGCAACGCTACATTTGCTCCTATCATCCGGTCGGGGTAAAAGACCGCAGTTTGAGAAGTACCCGTACGAATTCCCATTGTAAGGAGGCACTAAACCCCGCCCTCTAGAGGCTGCCCAGCCATCGCCGCTGGCAAGCAGTTCGGATGCAGGCCAGGGCCTGGGTGGAGATTCGGGGCTTCCTTTTTTTCTTTTAACTTTGGGGCGTGGATTGGGGGTTCAGGAGTTTAGCGGTTTGGGAGTTCGGGGCTAAGAGATGTAGAGGTTGGAGTTTAGGGTGTAGGATGAAGTTAAGATTTTGGGCTTGGGACGGCACGGGAACCCACATATTAGGATGAGCTGCGTGACAAAAGTGTCAATAGCATGCAGAATGGAGAGGCGGGGTTTGGGTCTGGGATCTTGGACGAGGTTTTCTTGTGCAGCATGTAGGAGATAAGATGTCAGCTGCAGGGTTTGGGTGTTCAGATGCAAGGAATTTGCTTCTTGTATAAGAAGAGGGATTCCATAAATGCACAGAACCTGAAATTACGTCCCATAATCTACAGTTCCCAAAGCCATGGACCCTATAAACCCGAAGCTCCTTGGAGTGTTATTGCAGGCCTCCCGGGCATTGAGCCAGCCACTGCTTCTTACGAGCTGGAGCGAGCTGCTTGGTACCTCTGGGAATAATTTTGTTTGGAATATGCAGGCTTCAGGTTAGAGGCCTGCGTGTAGGTAGAGGGCGCACTTGG